CCTTTGGGCACTGTGGTCATCTTAGTATGGAACATCTGAAATGTGTTCTGGAATATAGAACTGAAAATTAGATGGGAAATACTTGCTATATTGTATACCTTATGATCAGTCTAATTTGCAAGTACTGAAATGGTGTTCTTTCAGAGGGACATTAGAAAATTTTGTGGGCAAACTCACAATAGCTTTTACTCAGATTTACAATATTCTTCAGATACTTCCCTTTCATTGATTTATAAGGGCATAGGGGCCAGACTGACAAGACCATAGCGATCAGCACCACTTGTTCTTTTTGTCAAGGGGCTGCGTTGGAGCAGATTGATCACAATTTGAACAGGTAGATTCTGTGATATGTATTAGACATGTGATCTACACCGTGATTATGGGTCTAGGGAAACAGTAATATTTCTTACTACGACCAGATGCCAAACTGACGGTTTTGGTAAATTAAAATCTGTACCTGGACTTCAGTTGCAGGCTTGAGGGTTGAGAAACCCTCAACCCTTGAGAAACACTCTTTGAGAGTGTTTGAGTTGAGAAACACTCTTTACAATTCGATCTTTGGACAAGAAAACCTTAGTATTTAAGTATTAATATAAGGGAAATTGTGTGGATCCGAATGATCAGATAGAGGGAGGGCAGCTGGTTTAGGTGCAACTGCCCCAAGAACAGGCAGATCTGAAAAGGAAGCAGCATCAGTAGTTTGTGAGGCTTATTGGAGACATGTTTAATAGCATAGTTTAAAAATGGAACTGAATTGAGTGTGCATACCTAAGTATATAATTCATTATGTTGCATTTCTCTTCTGCATATCTCTTGAACACTAAAGACGTCTTTGCACGCTATAAATAATTATTGATATTTCACATAAGACACACTAAACATACTTCAAGAGCTAGGTGTTATTGATTTAGCCATTACCTCTCACATTTCTTCTTTACCATTAGAAGATTTGCTGCTCACTGCATTTTGTAATAATTGCACTCTTGAATTTTAAATATTCCCAAAATCACACTGTCATAAAACAAGCAAAACCAGTATATTAGGTAGGCTTTTTTCTTTTTGTTTGTTTGTTTTAATCTCAGGTTTGTGTTTTATATTGTCCTCTCTGGATAGATAGCAAAGCGAATCATAATATATAAACACAATTGCAATGGTCATGTGTCTGTATGAAGACCCTAGCTTGATCATTGCCTTGTGCTGGGTTATTTATTGCAATACTGACGTGTGAAGTTCCCTATAAGTAGGGTAGCATCAGCTGTGATAAATGAAATCACCATCTTTCTCCCACCATATTACCACACAGTTTGAATTTCAGTGCAGTCTCTTTACCACATCAGTGAACCCATCCTGTCTGTGGTTTTACACACCACACCACTGAGTGCTCAAGAAAGCATAACTGCAGGCTCTTAATAGAAACAGCATCCTCAATCACTGAAAAAATAATAAGCCTTAAGTAAGGCTTCTGAAGAAAATGGAGTGGTTCTTCCATTCTCTAGGAAATAGATACCTGTAATTTCACATGACCAAATGTAACAATATGTGTCTCTCTGCAGGTGCAAGCTATATATATATGCTTGCTATGAAAATGGTGAAAAATTTATCAGACTGATACTATTTCATTCTGGTCTCTTATCCTGCCTAAACAATATAGGTTCATTCTAACCCAATTTTTATACCTATAAATTGAGAATACTAATATTACCACGATATGGTGATTATTTGGAATACAAATAAAAGACAATTGTCTGGAAAAAACATATCTAGAACCGTTAATGGAGTGTATGGCTGTTGATTTGTGTTCCTTGATTGTTGGTGGCTAGGAACGGAGTGCTCAGTGTTTTGAATGATAGCTTGTGCTCTCTTATGATAAGGATGTAGAAAAGCAAAACAAAAAACAGATAAGTTCTGTATGACCTTGCATTTTTTTTCCCCCTATGCTTTACTTTCTCTGCTTTTCCAAGGGTAGTATTGGGATTTTCCCCAAATTTTAAGTGAATTTCAAGACCCTAGAAGAGTGATAAAATAAATAAATAAATAAAATAAAATAAAAAAGAATAAAAAGTGCTTAAAGTATATCTTGGAGCTAATTTAGAGGATGCTTAAGGTCTGCTTCCTCTGTGTTCTTTTAAGGAATAAAACATTGATTTGATCTTGGAGCCATAAATTGTCATAAACCATGTTTTTTCACTGGTCCATATCTGTGATGTTGATAAAATACTGTGTCCTAAGAACAGCATAGGACAACAGTGAATCTGCATGGGCAAGAGAGAAATATATGTGCCACATATAACAAGAAAGAGTTGATGGGCAGACAATAGAATTCCTTCTATGCTTTTTCTTCCAGTTCGGTCTTTCATTCTTTGCTTCTGTGTTCAATTGAGGGAAATTTGTGGAACTTCTTGTTTGACGCATAAAGGAAAAAAAAAACAATTGGAGATTTTTTATTTATTTTATTTTTTTTTCACCAAGATAGAGTTTCAAGTGATTCAAATAAACATAAAAATGTTGATCCCATTCAGTAACAAGCTGTGTTCCCCTTTTCTTCTTATGTGCACAGTGGTGCTCTAGAGGAAGTCAGCCCATGAAAAGTGTTCAATGCTGGTTTAACTGGCTCACAGCATGACCTGCTCTGGGTGGTTGTTACCTGTAACTTGCATGGTTCCAGGCATTAACTGTCATAGCTGGCTGGGTGGAGGAAGGGTAGGAAATGTATATACAATAATTATCCAGTTTGTTGGTATCCTTTTAATTAAGAAGATTTTTTCTTCTTTAGTAATTTATTAACAAACTACTTTCAGGCCAAAAAAACAATGTTGTTTCTGTTTCCATACTAGAAAAATGAATCTTATTTTCCCAGCTTTCTGGCTATAAATGCTAGAAATTCCTGGATGAATGTGACAGTGAATAGATTTTTAATATTAATATAGATGCATTTATCAAGCAGATGCAATTATTATTCACAAGCAATGTGAATTGGCATGTCAACGCTGAAATCAGAGGAACTGTGACAGTTGTCAGTAGCTGAAAACTTGCCTTGGAAGATATGGGCAAGAGATACTTAAGGAAGTTAATTGTTTGGCTTATTTTCTCTTTGTTGATATAGCCTCTTCTCTGAGTCCATTTACTCAAGCTGGGATCAGCAGATAATTCCTCCTGAGCAGCTAAAGATAACTTTTCCTGCTATACAGCTCATGTTAATGGGTATTATTTTAATAACCTAATGATTAATTCATTCCAGTTCTTAATCTGTTCCATATGCAACAAGTTAGTTTATTTCAGTATTAAGCAAGCATAATTGAAATTCCTGTTTCCAAATTTTAGTTATAGTTATCTCTAATCAGTATCAGTTTAAATCTTGTTGGTTTTAGAGAATATCATAGTCATGTTTTCTGTCCGGATTTGCTGTCCATTACTAAGATATTTTTGTATGCTTATAACTACATAAACAAGTACACTTGTACATTTTTGTGATTTTTTTTTTACACAGTGGAATATAGTAAATGTCAAAATCATATGCTAGCCTATTTAATTGGATAATTATCTACATTTCCAGAACAGAATCCTTCAATCAGTCTTTCAGTTGTAAAACAGGAAACATGACGAAGGGCTAAAATATGAACCAAATTTTACAGTTAGACCCTTAACTACAACAGCATATTTTTACAAAGGGTATTATAAAGAATATACCTGGAAATCTAAACGCATCTACATAAAACTATGAGTAAGAATATATGTTTTTTCACATTTCAGGAAAAGCAGGTCATAAGAGCTTTCTCAGTGTCCCCATACCATCACAAATGCATTTTGCTGTTTTTGAGAGCAAGAAGCATGAGATAAGACAAATGTGTAATTACTTCTTGACCCACTCTTCTGGGTTATACATTTTCATGAGGTGCCACGATTCATTATTTGCATTGATATGTACAGAAGGATGGGTCTGCTTAGTTGATATTCATTTATTCAACAGTCTGTAATCTATATTTAATGGAGTACCAGACTGTGGCATAATAAACCGTTTAAAAAGATAGCTGCTGCTTACACAGGGGTTATTGCTTGCATAACCTGTACTTATTTTTCATTACAAAACTAAAAGAGCAAAGCATAATTCACACAAGAAAATGAAGTTAACATTTAATGGTTTGAAAAATGATAGTGTACCATAATGCTGTGCATTACTCTGAACACTTATAAAACAAAGCAAGGCAGCAAAAAATATAAATACAAATAAAAAGGCATTAACAGAACACTGTGAAATATGGGCACCAAAACAAACAATGCATTCCAGTTTGCCACCTGCTTAGCTGGACCACTTAAGATTGCTAATTACTCAGAAGCCAGTAGATCTGTGAGCAACTGAGCATGTACAAACACCTGGCATTAACAGTGTCACAAATACTGAAACCTGCTCTCTTGTTTTCCTCTTTCCTGACTTTTCCTCCACAAAGGTAGTCTTCATGTCACTTTGTGGACACAGAAATGCTGCATGGACTTCCCCATGTAGAACCATGGAATCTACCGACAAACCTAATGATTGTCTCTGCAAAGACACCTCACTGTAGGTCAAGTACCATATAGGCCTTGTCTGAACAGTTTTATTGAGCTGCAAAATCTTGTTTCCAAGCTGACAACAGAATAAGAGGGGTCTGTCCTGGTAGTCAGGATCAGAGGAAAACTCCAAGACAGGTGTTAAAATAATGGTGGGAAACTGTAAAGGTTGGGGGCATTTATGAGTCTGATATCTTTGACTATGTATACAATAACATGTTTTTTTAATGTAAATATTGGACTTGTCCAGAACAGCTTAGCTGCTTTAAAAAAAAATAAAAAGTGTTTGTCAACATCTATTAGCATTACCAGATTTCAAAGTGCCTCAAATTGGGAAATACAAGCTTTGTTTTAGTGGAAGCTTCACAGGGCCATGTCCTTGAGTATTCTGGAGGTTACTGAGTGGCAGCAGCAGAATTGTGTGGGTTCTGAGTGTTCATCTCCTCCCCCTTTAGGGTGATGTGGAGTCCCCAGTGCCACCTTCCACTGGAATGCCCCTCCAGGGGCCTAAAACCAAACCAACAGACTGAAATCTCAGCTGAGAACCAGATCTGTGGCTGTATTTCCTGCTTGCACAAATAGGTGAGTTCACCTACAGTGACTGAAAAGGAAACTTTCCCCTTCCAGCCAGCAGAATTTTTTCCTGCAATGTGTGCTGACCTCTATTTCAGACAAACAACACATAAGCTTGTTAGATGAATGTTGAGAGGAAAAAATAATAATAAAAACACTCTCAAGGGTTTTAGGAATATAATATTGGTGGCTAAAGAATTTCAAGTGCCAATTAGGGGTCATTGTAAGGTTGCAGAAATTGGAGGAGTTTTTTTAATCCTTGTCTTTAAGAAGCTTTTTCTGCTTGTAATGCTATCATGTTGTATAATTCAGTGAGTGAACGTGATATACATAGAAAATTAATGATCATCTTGCCTTGTTGGCTTTTTAAGCTCCCATTTTACGTATATGTGTTCTGAAGAACTTTTCTATTTCAGTGCCTTTGCTTGCTTCCTTCAGGGAGTTGCATAAACACCACAGAAAGCTGACACCTGGGAATCTGTGCAGTTGCCTTAAGGGCAATTAGCTATAAAAGGTAGGGCTAAAAGCTAATTGCTCTGGTTTAGTTCTCAAAGTGCAGGTGAAGCTTGCTGAGAAATGAAACGAAGGCTGGAGAAAGGCCAGTTAAAAAATTCTCTCTCTGGACTTGGACTAGAACTTTTTAGCACTGAAAACTCCTGCCAGTTTGACAGTAAATTTTGTGTTCTGGTGCCTGCTAGAATGAGGTACTGAATTTTTACTTTGTTGTTCAGACATTTGGGATATTTTGTGCCTTTTCTTCCCTTGTTTTGGGGTAAGGGTGGGATGGGGCGGTTTGAATCATCAAGTGATAAAATGCTCCTAGTTTGCATAGCTGCAATGTGTATCATAACTGAAAGCTGTATGGATGATGATGATGATCAGAGGATCTCAGCAGAAGGCATTTATCATGTTATTCAATTAACTTGAAGGGGAAAAAAAAAATGTCTTCCCAGCCATTTTTGCATTAGACATATGTGGTAAAAATAGATGTTTACGAAAGATTTGAGGCTGGTTCTGTTGGAGTGGAGTGCAATGGAAAAGTGTAGAACAGCTGCTATACAGTTGAATCACTGGAATAAGGAGGGGAAATTACTTTCCTGTCTCAATCTTTGAGTTCTCAAATACTTTTTGTGTCATAAGTGAAGGTATTTAAAATGTTCGGTTTGAAACAGATACACAAAATACTTGTTCCAACATCTTGAAAACATTGTTTCTACTCTTTCATGTTTGTCAGTTGACAAAAAGTTTGTTCCTCTTAATTTTAAAATGTCAAGAAATGACGTATGAATAAAGAGTGGGAGAAGGAAATCCCAAATCTTGAATTCAGAAATTTGCCTGAATAACACATTTCTACAAATAGTAGTGAAAACGCAACACATTTCTTTGTAAAGCTCCCAGCTGGTTCTATTTCCATGAAGCATTTTAGACTGAGGATGTTGAAAAAAAAAACCCTGCTGTTTGATACCTCATACTGAAGAAATAAATACATTTTGGTGTAAAATATATTACAGAAACAGAAAGGCATGTGTTGGCCACCTTCCTCCCTATCCACAGGATAGCTGCATTTTCTCCCTTGATATTTGGCCTGCAGAAGGCCAGCCAAAAAGGGCCTATTCCATGTACCTTTTTTTTCTTAACTGCTAAGAGCATTTATTGGAGCTCTTTTGCTACCATATCATTTGAGAGTGATGTGAAATTGTGCAGTCTGGAAGGGAAGGGAAGAGGCCAGAGCTCTCTTTAGCTAATCAGCTCTGATATGTTTCTTTTGCCAATCAAGATGCTGGAGAACCCAACACCTACGTTTGCAAATTTCTGTCCTTATTGTAATAAAAGATGAGATGGATTGTAATAGTGAGATTAACTAAGCATGGTTAATCATTCTTGGGGTTTGAATCCAAGGACAGCAAATGGCTTGATGTATGTCTGTGAACTACATCTTACTGAAAAAGGATGGAGAGGACAACTCTTGATTTGCCTTACAGAAGGATCCCCTGAGGTTTGTATATATGTAGTGTGGAAGGATATAGAATATATCTTGTATGTACATATGCAAATATGCATGAGTATAACTACAGAAGGGCTGTCACACAGGGTGAATGTAATTACGGAAATAGTTTGCCCAGATTTTGTTGTTGAGACTGGTAAAATTTTGGTGCCAATCTTCCCAAAACAGCATCTAGTACAGGAATGTAATGCTAAGATATCTTTTTATATTCCACTTAATGTGAAAAAAAAAAAAAAAAAAAAAAAAAAACTTTCTGCTCATTATCATCTTCATAGTACCAAAAAAATGAACATTACTTTGATAACCAGTCAAGAAAGCTATCACTGAAATATGCTTTAGGCTAATAGTTAGAAAATGAATGCAGGGAGGATGAGTTCAAACTCTCACAGATGGAGAATGGGTTGGAGTCTGGGGTCTCTCTGCTGTGCACAGCAGCACTGTCCACCAAGCTAATGGTTGGTGTGGCACCACCATATATCTCCTCTCTCTTTCTCACTGGACTTGAATAGGTAGTTCTCATTTTGAGAAATGAGTGTGGTGGCACCCAGAGACCAGCTATCTGGGTGAGAAGCAAAGCTGGCCACATTTATTTATTTAGACATAAGGTTAAGTTTGCAACTCCCCATGGTAAATTCTCAGGCAATTCCTGGCATTGCTACAAATGGGCATAGAAGTATCAGATTTTTGACATGGATGAATATAGGTGCCTAAAGGCTCAGCAGTGACAGAGGTTTAACGGATTTCCATTTCAGATGTAGACGTTTTGATGGTGTTTCAGGAATCTGAGTATGTTTTCTTGGTGAGTGTTCAATTTTCATAAATAAAACCGAATAAGCCTGGCAAATTCTCCTCATCACAGAATACCATTTGTCTGTGGTGTCAGAGGGCTTCAGCAGGGGCAGAACCCAAGTCAACTGATCCCAAGGTCTATGGACTTGCAGATTGACTAGGTCTATCTGCTGCTCTAGAGGCAGGTGGGGATTGAAAATGAACCAAAGAAATGAGTAGCAGGGGAGGAAAAAAAAAAAAAAAAAGAAAAAACAGCAGGACATGAAAATGAAACACTTACTATTTTGAAAATGTTTTTTTCACTAAATAATTGAATTTCCCCTCCACACACATTCTTGTTCCATATGCTCAGAGTTTAAGCTAAGTGTTTCCTTCTTTTTATTACTTCTCTGTTATCAGTACAAACATGTAATCTTGGGCTTACTGCTAAGTGTGTATCTGTCTTCAGGTTTTATGCTCTGTAATTCCCAAGGAAATCAGTTCCTGATATCTTGCACTGAAAAAGCTATGCTCACTCAGCAGGCGAGAAGAGTTTTAAAACTGTAGGCAATGACAGTAATCCTTTGCTTAGTTACACTGGTGTAAAGCCTGAGTAATTTTATTGTAGGAAAGAGAAGAATCAGGGATACCATTCTCAAGCGAATGTTCACTAATTATTTCTAGATAAGGTGGTGGGAGTAATTAGTGTTAGGTATTGGAATCAGCACTCAATGTAATTTATGTCCACATAATACCAACATCTACCTCCATTCAACTTCTATTATAACTTTTTTAATTGAGAAGGAAAAAAAGCCTATTTCAAATACATGAACTGAGTACTACATGTGTCTTTTTGGACACTGCAGATTTGTATCAACCAATGACTTTTATAATGTAAATAGATTTCTGCATCAGACAGCACTGGCTACCAGTGGACTACATGAAGCACCATGTAGTTAATGCAACAGGGTGGATGTGGGCTTGGTTGAACTGAAATCAGTGGTAGCACTCAGGTGCCCAGGCAGAGCCTGTGCAGAGAAGCCTGACCCAGGGTCTGCACTAGAAAGGAGACCGGAGAGGGGACACAATTCGGGCTGATGAAGAGATATAGGGCTTTCCATGTTGGTCCAAGGGTATACTTTTAGTTCTGATTAAGTAGGAGTTATTCCTGGAATTGTTTAAGAGTCTAATTTCTGTGCTGAAAGAAACTTACATATCCAGACTGGTTTCATTCCTACAGGGAGACCAAGATGGCCCCAGACATTTCTCTGTTTCTTGGAGCAAAGTGTTCTGGAATAATTAGGACCTGAAGGTCCCACAAATACATTTCTCATAAGAGCCACAGAAGGGTATGGTGATTAATATTGCCCCAAGTGTAAGCATTTTATTCAGATTTCTGTTTTTTCTTCTAAATTTATTTATTTATTTATTTATTACTTTGAGAAGAATATTTTAAAACCTGTTCTCTTTTGTTTTGTTTTGTTTTTTTCCCAAAAACTTCCATATCCAGCACCACATTGAACCTTCCTTTTATTGACATAATTATTTTGTCTGACCAGTTGTCTGCTTTGAGGACTCACACTGGCAGGGTGCCTAAATTGTGCTTTTTCTGTTCTAACCTAGATTTTTAGTATAAATTTGTTTTTTTGAGCCAGGCCCCATAATGTTTTCTGCTGGCATTAATATAGACTTTTGAAGATACTTGGGTGCTGGCACAGAGGAACATTCTGGTGTTATAGTATTTTAGTATTCAATTTTGTTGTTATAGTGAACTTAGAGTGTTCCCTTGTAATGTCTTTTGCTTAATCTCTGATATCCCCAAGTGTACGCAACATGTAATCAGGCCATCACATGATGCTCTCTCTTGCCTGTCAGGAACGATCTGGAGACCTGCCTTTTCATTTCCTGCAATCACCATGAGATGGCAGTTGTCAATTGCTGGACTTGCTTCACCCCATTTGAACAAAAATGATTCAAAGCTTATTGATCCTTGGAGACACTGAGCTTTCCAGCTTTGCTGTTCACAGCATGCAAGTGTGAAACTTTACAAGTGACTTTTAAAAGCAGCCAAGGAATGTGTGAGACAGATTGTTAGGGGGGAAAAAACAACAACAACAACAAAACATTATTTAATTTGATAGCGTGGAGTTCTATGCCAAAGTAAGGCATGTGTTTGCTGTTAGCAATCAAAGTAGCTTTGCGAATGAAAAGTGACATTTTTTTATGGGATTTTACAAGTAGGGGATCCCTAGGGAAATTAATTTGGCCCTCTGGAATGCTGCTCTCCTCCATGCCACTTCCACATCAGCCTCAGATTTTTTTTTTTATTTTTTTTTTTTTTTTGCCACAAACCTTGATATTAGTTTTTGGGTAGATGGAAGCCAGCAGGAAAGATGTGGGTGCAGTAGGTATATTGCAATCCCATGGCAGGTCTCCAGCATTTTCATAGTGCTACCTAGTAAATCATCAGGTCGCAGGTAATGGCCCAGATCCTGGGCTGCAGCTAATGAGCTACCGGCCAGGGAATTGGGTTTTATTTTGTCCTTTCAATAAAATCCCTGAACACAAACCCAAGCTTTTTCAAATAGTACTCCCCATACGTAGCCTGGAGGCAGTCTAAATAATTTAGGTGGTTCTTCATCTCTGTTATTCAGTGGTGAAAAAAGAAGCCTGAAAATTCTCGACTTATTTTTTAATAACACATTGCTCCAAATTGCGTCTCTATTCTCTCTAGCTACATTCCCTGTCCATTTTCAGTTGGATGTGCTATTCTTATTTTTTTCATGAATTGATTTGTTATAATTTTTTCCATGTCTGCTCTTAATCGGTTGCTCCCCTTTACAATGTAGGTGGCCATATGATAATTATTCAAAAGAAGTATAACACTTCTTGTGTTTTTATTTTCTGGGGGAAAGAAATCACTAGTGCCTTACAATTATAGCTTGCAAATTTTGCCATCTAATTTTCAAAGTAGTTTCATCTATAAGTACATAAGAGGGTACTCAAGTTATATTGCATTATTACTATGAATAGTTAAAATAAATAAATAAATAAAATCAACCAATAAATGACATCTTGGTTGATTATATCCTGGGGGTTCAAGAGATACGAAGTGATATACGTTGGTAAAATTGCTGTGTTTTCAGCCATATTCTCACAATGCCAAGGCCTTGAGCAATGGAACTGATCTCCACAATGTCAGCTATCCCAATCTACAGGATTGATAATGCAGGATGAAATTGTATTTTCCAACGCTTTGTTTACTCCTCTTTGTAATCCCAGATTTGTCTAGGCTAGAAGAGACTGAGATGTATATGTCTGGCCTCATATTACAGGACGTTAAATTCCACTCCGTTCTCCTTGTAACAGACAATTTCAGAACAGAAAGTAATATTTGGTTAAGGAAAGACATCGAATCATGGCTTTGAAAAGAGGAGATAAACAAGGCCCCACTGTTTTTCTCAAGAATTTCTTAGTCAATCTCCTTGTCAAGTATGCACATAGGAAATTTCTCACTCTTACGTATCTGATTTCAGTTGCTGGGCTCTG